GTCTCTTCTATCTCATTTGAATATTGCGCGAGCTAGAAGTTTACATTCTGGCATGAAAATGGAAATTAGAGCGAAAGGATAGAAAAGTAACGGAAAATAACCAGTTAGCAACTTAAATGATACCTTGTATGGTTATTATGATAAATGGGTAGCAACATCAAATGCGTGCTGCTGGATAGTAATTTTGGAAATTCGAGCACTGCATTTTACAGCGTGTTCTTCCAAAAGCAATGCGTACTGATTTATATACTAATACCTATAAAAATTAATCAGAATTTCATACATCATTAATTGGAAAATTCACTGTTGCATTATTATTAGAGCTACCAGAATTATATTTCAAAGGGCAGTGGAATCCAAATTGTTAACAGTTGGGTGATTAAAACAATGAGCCATTCACAGATTGATCTGATTCTAATGAAACAGGAAATTTGATTAATCGTAAGAAATACTTATCTTCTGAATAAATTTAAAATTTGAGGAATGTATTAGTTATTTCGTCAGCTGATATCTTTCAGATTATTTTAAGGCATTCCGAAAGGTCAATAGTTTACATACTTTAAAATAGAGATAAGGTATCTTTAGAACTTGGTTTACACGATTTTTGGCAAATAACGCCTAACTAATTATGCAAAAGGGTACATTTCTGTAACTTATTTTAAATGTTCTGTTTAGAAATAACGCAAAACATATGGTTTGAGGAGGCCTGGTTTTTGATACCAACATGTTTAAATCTTGATATCCTAAGAAGAAAAATCTTAACTTTTCCATTTCCTTTGACATTCTCATTTATTTTAAATAATGTTTTGTTATAAACCTCCGCAAATTTAGCCAAATTAATTATTAATAATTAATATTACTCAATAAATTAATATTTACTTTAATTTAAGTATTATCATAGGGTTTACTTTAAGCATTAGCATAATAAACCTTCAAATATAGAGGATATATATAAATTTTAGAATGGGGTTTGCAGATTATCATCAGTGCTTTAATTAAAAGTAGCTATTTTTATAAATATTTTTCTTTTGATCGTTTTCTTTGGCTATTAGCCTGCATATTAATTTTCACTACTAAGAAAATAATTTTTGTTTATGTTGTAAATGGTACTTTTCCCCACGTCCCTTACTGTACTGTACGTAGTGCAAACTGTATTTAAGTATTCAATTAGGCAACAACAGAAGTATAATAGGTCGATTAGCGAAATATTAAAGGACTTTGATTATAGATTAAATATTCTTCCGTGCTTAATGGATTGAATCCACACAGAATCGATGATAGCTTGTCAAAATTTATTTTCACAAAATAAAAACTTTACAGTTTTAGACCTTTCCACAAAATTCATCGTACAACTCTTCCCAGTTTGACAGAGCCCAATCAGTAATTATCACTTCAAACTACTAAGAGCGTTAAACACAATTAATGCAAAACTCTTCTAATAAGCGATTATTTTGTTACGATCATTTACGTAAGTCAGTACTTCGTAAATACCACGACGTAAATCCACTGGTTTCTGGCTAAAGGATTTTGGCAAAAGCTTCAAAATCCTATTCCGCGTTCAGACTTACTGTACGGATGTTTTTCAGCTATTTTACGACAAACAGTCCTATAACTATTTTATTTTCTGTTCTTACAAAAAATGTAGATTTTTGTTTCAAAGTAAATATTCTGCTTTTGAAGCAATTTCAAAAACATTTACTCTCTGAGGGTATTATTTTGTTCCTTTTTCCTGATAATCGGCACAATATTAGGTATTTTATATTTATAAATACTATCTACAGGATTTTCAAAACGTTTTTAAGACATGTAATAATAATGAAAAGTCTATTTGGAAAAAGCAAAAATATAAGCATTCAATAAAAAAATTGTTTTGCCAAATCTGATAACATTAAACTAAATTTTAGCTAAGGTAAAAAATGACACATTAGTCCCAAGCGCTCTCAAAACATTTTCTAATTTACTTTAAAAATATTTGTATATCTCGGATTTGGAGGTCTTCTCTCTGAGTGACGAAATTTATTTTGAAATTACGCGCCAATACTAAATCTACCTGAAATTATTAATTTGCTTGAAATTTGTTTCCAAGAAATATGAGATTTTTTTAATTTTAAAAACCGTTCGAGGAATTTAAATGACAAACTCAATCTTAAAAATTAGAGTTTGGTAGCACAGCGCATACATCCATTGTTTTAGGCCAAAAGGGCTATTAGTCTCGAAAAGGGATTTTACGTTGAATCACCATAAATGAGTCGTTTTAACCTTTGTGTGTAATTTTATGTTATTATCCTCTTATGTTTAACTGTAAGAACTGCGATTTATAACTCCAGTATTACTCAAATAGCGTATAGTCAGTTCAAGTTTTCCATATTCTAGCTGGTTAGTGCATTGGGGCAATACCTGTTCGATTCTGTAGTAAAGTTTCTGGTGACCCATGCACTTTTATCTGTTTTCTTGTTTTCATTTGAATCTATTGCTATTTGGAAAAGCGTAAGATATTTCAAACTGAATCTCTATATGAAAGAAATTGGTGCCCTTCTTAAGAATATTCGTTTCTTACATTTGTAATAACGTATTGATTCAAATGAAAAATGCGTTTAATTGGTGATTTATCTAATTAAAAATGTTTAATATTTTCACAGAATGACATTATACAATATTTGAATTACTTGTTTCATAGTTTGTACTTTATAGAATTTTTATTTAAGAAACTCAACGATTTGAAAGCGAGCACTGATAATACCGTATGGAATAAAACATTTTTATCTCCAGCGCACGAGACTGTCTATCAGAAACTATAAAGCTCTGCTGCTTTTAAATACTTTGTGATTTTGTTTTTGAATAGATTTGTGTCGAACGTGCGCGAAGAACGTGATATTTAATAAATACATTTTACACACAAAGCGTTAGTAAAAAAGAGATAGCTTTTAGATTTTATATTAGCCCAAACGCGCGTTTTTTCATTTACAGAGACATACACGTTTGAAGAGCATTTGGACTAATGCCACATTGAGCTAAATATAATATATTTAGAATTTTTACAGTCACTCGCGCCAGCGATAAAAATATTTTATTCCTTAAAGTGTTGCCACTGTTCGCTTTGAAACTGTTCAGTTTTTAATCCAAAATTCGTTAATTTTACAGAATAGGAATTTATAGTGATTCAACGCAAAATCGCAAAACGAAAACAATAGTTCTTTAGGGACAAAGCCCCTTTGGATTAAAAATTCGGTTTTCAAAGTGTCTATATTCGGGTAGAGATTACGTGCGTGGAAAATTCGGTGGGTCTAAGCGATTATTCATTGTTATTTTTTAAAGAAATACATCGGGAATATGTATGTAGTTCTGCAGATCTACAGTTATGTTTTCTGCTTATGTACGTAAAAGTCTTGAAAAGCCTTAGCATGAAAATCTTCATATCTTATCATGGGTCATTAACAGCTGTGGTAGATAGGAAAATCTAGGCTTTCGAAGCTTATCTAACTTGATTACCTACAGGTATCACTTGATATTATCTACAGATTGCCCATATTTGGTGAAAATATTGCTAGTTGTTTGAATGTTTTATGTCAATAGTCATTACTGAGAAAAGATATGAAATGGTATGCACCGTCACTTTAAAATAAGCCCGTTGTAAGTCCATCACATGCATAAAAAAGATCTGTACGTTCATAGTTTTTGCTGATTTCTTCCTTACTTCAGTAAAAACCTTTTTTTACCCTATAAACTTTAGTATATATTTTTTATACAACTACTTTTATTGATTTTATTCCATTATATTCTATTTTATTACTTTTGTTCTATTATTCTACCTCTTTTATCCTTGGTGTATTGAATTTATAAGATTTATTAGAGGATTCAGGTGGCATTCTTAGCAATTAGTAGATATGTTCTTCTCCTTCGTACTGAGAGAGATAAAACAAAACAATAAAATTTCAGCAATATGTTTCCATATTTATTACATTTCTATTCTTCAAGAGATAACTTACAGGTATCTTTTCGCAAATGACTAATCAAACCTTTACTTATAACTGCAACTACTGAGTATACAGTTCTAATGGAATAACTTTATCAGACCAATTTGTTCAAGAAAAACATCAGGTCTCGTAGCATAAATAAAGTAACTAATATACCAGTTATAGTATGTGTAGACAGAAACCGGTACAAGGGCATGACAATTCCCTAGCTTCTCATTAGGAACTATAAATCATCTTATCTAAGAGATGATGTTCCCCAGAGTAAAGTGGTAAGCAGACGTATCGATTATTTAGCCTCTAGTTACGCAAAATAAATCAACATGACAATGAAATAATATAGCCGAAGGAACAGAGGAAAATAATAGTTCTTTAATCTTGGATTTACTGAAATAAATCACATTGTCCGAGACGTTAAGAGGTTCTAATTGTTAGGAACAAAAATTCCATATTCTCAGTGAACGTTTTAATTAAATCTAACAGTCGCATTTCAGAAACTAAAGGCATATACACAGAAACAAATACATTACATCATATTTGATATATATTGCACTAAAACTAATATATGTGCATTAATATGCAGTATGAGTATTAGTGAAAAAAAAGTGAATGATATATGTTTGAAAGTCAAGTGTATATGTTTGATGACACGTTCGGCATACTCTGTGACTCTATGTAATTCATCACTCGTTTATTGAAATCGAGCAAAATGTTAAACTTCTATAAATGTTTGGCTTAGGAATTAAAATGAGACCTGATATTTGTGTAATAGTATCTCGTATACTTACTTGAAGGATAAGAAGTTTTACTTAATGTTCAGTTACAAAAGATTTCTTATAAAATACTGTTTCCTTCATATAAATAATTGTTTAAATTTGAAGATTGGATAAACAATCGTGATATTATTATTCGTGATTAGGAATTTTCAAAATGAATGTAACTATCGAGAAAAAAAGTCAGCTTCTCAACATCTTAATTAATCTGCTTATTTTACAATTTTTATATCAGAAATTTTATAAAAATCCATACCTTTTTCTGTGTTACAATTCCATTCTCACAACCGCCCAGACGGTATAGTAGTTAGGAAGGCCTGACTGCGATACCGAAGGACCTGGGTTCGAATCCCAGAGAAGGCATGGTTGTAACTGTCCGCCTTCATAGGAGACGATGGTGGCCCACCTATTAGGTGCCTTCATAATAAAGAGACCACCACATTTAGCCTTATATAGATTAATGGACGGTGTTATGCTGTAACTGTTCACAATCTGCTATTGGAAAAATAGAAAAAAAAAAGAATCCCATTCTTACAAAATGTCACTATTTTATCGGTGATCAGAATTAATATTTATGTTTTGGCTTAAACTCTAAATTAAGAAAATTATCATTCTCAAATTGTAATTTGTTTAATACTTACTAGTCTATCATTTGCTCTGATCTCGGTTTCACAAAATGCTGAACTGTAGAAGGATATACAGCTATGTATACTGAAGTCATTGACCTCCGAGCGTAGAGAAGTTAATGCATAGTCTAATTGTTACAGGTACCTTTTACTAATTATTTGGCTTTTAAAATGCCTAAATACAGATGAAATGTGAAAATCGCATGCTGAAAATTAGGTGCCATAGTTTAATTACGTGATAATTTATTGTAGGGAAAATTTTATAAAACACTAAATTAAAGACAACTTCACATAGGGACTATGTATTCTAATTCGTTAAATTAATTTGTAGAGAGGAGGATCTTTTGGAGCAGGAAGGATGGAAACATAGCAACCGCCTTCGCCTGAAATCGAACCACGTACCTCTGAAATACCGGCTCCGTGTGCTGACCACTACACCACGAAAGATCGCCAAGAAGGTGCGAGAAATACCTTATAAATTATAAATTTCCGTTTATAAAAATCATTTTTAAAACAATTTGAGTCGATATTCCATTGACAGATTTATCTTACAGAGCGTCCAAATTTCACGTGGAACTGCAAAATATATTTAAAAGTTTCTTAGAATAGGTCATCTGAAATGTATTGGTGTTTATCCGAGGCTGAATTCCAACCATAACTCGGCGGTAAGAGCTCGATTCTGGACAAGTCTTGGTTAATTGCGTGTCTTCTTTTCTTCTTTCTCTAGGTTTAATATCAGTCTTCCCTTTGCATGCAATTTGGGCAAATCCATACGTTGATGTTAAACGGTCTATGTATTGAAGAATAATTTTTAGTCAAATTTTTAGTTAGGGATGTAGATGGAGCAAAATATTCAATCAATTGATGTTTCTATTTTTTTTTTTTTTTTTTTTTTTTTTTTTTTTTTTTTTTTGTTTTTTTGTTTTTTGTTTTTTTTTTTTTTTTTTTTTTTTTTTTTTTTTTTTTTTTTTTTTTTTTTTTTTTTTTTTTTTTTTTTTTTTTTTGTTTTTTTTTTTTTTTTTTTTTTTTTTTTTTTTTTTTTTTTTTTTTTTTTTTTTTTTGTGAACTAGTTTAGTACAAAGCAATTTTTAAATAAGATCTCGCAACAAACATGGAATTTTAAATTCATTTTCTGCACAAAGATTTCGTAATCAGGCCTACTTACATAACGAAATACGTGTTTACTTTTGTTCAAAAATTAATGCAAGGTTTTATTATCCACGTACATTTTTCTATATAAATCAAACTGTAAGCGATAGTAACAGGATTAAGGCATTACTCTTACACGTGTCCTTATTTTGTGGTAGTTACGACATCTGCGTAGCAACCAAAAGATTCAAGTTTTGATGCCCGGACGCATAGCTAATTATTCAAGTTTTCCACATTGAACCACATCAGGTCCGTAGTGCCGGAAACAAAAATATGATGGGCGTTATCATAAGCATTTGGCCAGTTAGTTTTTGTTCCTTTTAAGTTATAAGACCCTAGAGATCACAATAAATTTTTCTTGTTCCTATTAATGATGAATGCAGGACACGAACAAAGTGTCATATAGTCTGCAACAGAATACTTTATTATTCCTTATGAATTGTAATATGCTGTGAAATATCCGCACCTGTTCCTACTTTTTATGGTAATAAATATATTGTTTATGTTACTAGAGTATGCTTATATTAATTACTTATGTTCTCAATTTCTAGAGAATAATCTTAGCGTACTTCGGTTCGATTGACCAAGAAAACAAACAATTCTCGTATGTGTTTTATCTATGATATATTACTAGAAATGTTACTTTCTCATCATGTTTGGTTAAGCATAGGTTTATTCTGTAACCAGTTACATAATTTCTGGTATTTATTAGCAAAATTAACTGATGATTAATAAGAAACACTTCTGTTAAGAGAGAAAGTATTCCGCAAGCTATAAATTCTGAGAATAATAAGCAAATACATACCTTCGCCTGAGTCAACTTCTGCTCAGAAAGAGTCAAAATAACTATGGCTTACGTTAAATCTGAAACAAAATATTTAGTCTTCAAATCTAGGACATACAGATCATCTTTCTCAGAAGATAACAAGTGCTTTTCTAGAGCAACATTCGATAATGATATATTTTATGATAAATCTCAGATTGTAATAACCATTGTTTGGTGGAAGAAAAGAAGAATTTTCCGTCGAAAGATAAGAAATACCGTCGACTTCTTGAACGTAATGTGGTGGAATAACAATCCCTTTGTTTCTGGCAATGGATCAAAAATCAGAAAATATTCTTTCCCAACGAAAACTAAGATATCGTATCTGAAATGGAGCATAAATCGCTGCGGCTGAGAAACATTATGATACGTGCAAATCAACAGAAGAAATCTGAAATCTTCAGAATTGTGCTGTGGTCCATAAAACGCAAGGAAATAGATAATATTGAGTGTGGTAACTTCGAATGTCATGTAATTATTTTATTCAGTTTCCTGGTAAAGAAGCAAAATGATGCGATGATATAAGAGAAAATATTTTTAACTTTCGCACTAGTCAAACTCATAGCCTTTCAGAATAAATAAGGGTTAGGCATCCAGAAAATGATGGATTAAGACATCGTCGTTTCGTTGCTTGAATGGGTCTAAAATGCAGATTACGTAAGAAAGGTTCCGACACTGCCCAGAGCTAGATATTATAACCAAAGGGCCGAGAAAATATTCATTTATCAAGTTTGGAGAAAATCCTAAAAGAAACAGTATAAAAATAACCGTGTTACATTAAAATAGAGCAAAATCTACGTATTATGTCCCCTTTCTCCTTTTTCTAAAATAGTTTCATTTTGCATTTATTCTCTCACTATTCATTAGAAATTTATGCGAGTTTCTGTACAAGTCGAAATAAGTATACTTTAGATACTTAATGAACACATTTAATGATATGTATTGAATTCAGTGCAGCAAAACTTGATGTAAAAGAGTTCGAACATTAAATTTTTATTAATAGTTTTAATTCAAGAGCGATAGTTAGAAAAACGAAGAGTTAACAAGACATTGCATTCACGAAGAAAATCAGCTATTTTCTTTACATTAGTTTATCTAATATCTAGTTTATACATGATGAAGATTTGTGAAAATCTCAGATAGCTGATGAAACTCTAAATAATAGGTGATTGAAGTCACGGCAAGTTTAAAATGTTTCTTTCATTTTAATTAAATATTTTGCGGCCACAATATACTTGACACACTAATCGTTTTGAATGTAACATTTACACTTTTAATATGGTTGTTATAAGAATAGAGAAGAAAGTAATAACCTAGATAAGCCAAAGAGAGGAAGCAAAGTGCACAATTATTCAATATGGAAACTTAGTTTAAGAGAAATGTTTCGTTTTGAATTAGCTCGTCGTTATCGTTATATAAAAGTCATATGATATGGATTAATTTAGAAATGACACAGTCCAGAAAAATTATCTTAAAAAATTTCTATTTTCAGAATAGAGAGGAGAAATAGTCAAATTAAAATGAAGAATTAATGGATTATTGCTAAATTAAATAACAGCTTTTATATACTTTTTATCTAACTCTCACACACACATGCACATATATATCGACAGATATCATGTATACATATGTATGTGTGTTTGTGTGTGTATAAGATACAAAAAAGAAAAAGAAAAATTATAATTTTAGTTTGCAATTATCCCTTACCCCAGTAGTTCCAACCTGGCGGCCTTCAGGCAGCCGGCGGCTCCCGAAGCAATTTTAGGCGATGCGCGACTACTTTTTAAAATTTTAATAATTTGATATTCAAGTTTGCATTATTTTCATTATCATTAAAAACTAACCTTAATAACGCGCAAGAAAATCTATAAATTGAGCTAAGTAATTTACAGTGTGATATAAATCTTATACAAAGATTTGAAGACACGAAATTTATTAACTCTAATTTTTATTTGCCAAAAAATAAGTACACACAATTAAGAATTTATGCACTTAGTATAATCGCTTTGTTCTAGAAGACATTTATATGTAAACCAAATTAAATATCCTCTTCTATTCCCTTCCGTTATATAAATAGTAACGCTTGTAATAAATCTTTAAACTGTCTTATTTCCATATTAATCCATGCCATATAAATCTTACATAACTCTCTGCCTATAGAAACCATAACATTCCAGCCAGTAATAACTTTTAAAGCTTAAATATTAATGAAACCAAAATAAGGTAAACCGAAACTAATTGACTGTGAACCGTAATTTTTTTCATTTCTGTTTCAGGCTTTCTTCCGGGGAACGACGCATTTTCTCTCTAACTTCCTGTTCTGCCAAATTTTCAATGCATGCTGCTTCAAACATAAATCAGAATTATATAGGTACTAATGTAGTTTAAAGAACAGCTCTTCTTGCTCCAGTTTGTTTGTTTCGGCTAACAAATATGTGTCACCCAAAATAAAAAGGAATATTTAGTAGTGCCATGACTGCAACTAACTTCTTTATGCTTCAACATCATGTCTTTAACATTTCCAAATTATTACATATAAGTCCAGATGTGTGTGTATATGTAAGGTAAAGAAATTGCTTAAAATAATCTAATTTTAGTTTGCATTAGCTTCTTAAGTCTGATTTTTAATGGTTGTTACTCTCCTTTCTATCTTAGGTAGATAATAATGTGCTCATAATAAATCTCTCAGAATTGTGTCATTTTCAAATCAATCTTTGTCACATGATTTTTTTATAATGCTCATGACGCATGCATTTACATAACGGCAAAAGGTCTTTCAACTAGTTGTAATACTAGAATTTCCAAATCAAAATTCTTAACTATCCAATAAAACTTAAGTGGAACTAAAACTTTTCTAACATTGATACTAAACTCTACGAATTTCTCTGTCGTGCCGAGGCATAGACTGCCGATTTTCATTTGTTTTCTTGCTAGACCTAGTTATGTAAAATGTTGCTTGTAATTTTGAAGCAATATGTCACCTATCTGTCCACGACTACCTATCATAAACAGAAATTTTCATCTGTAAAAGCAGAAGCATCATCATGCGTGTACATATTCGTGTATATTCGAAGGCCCCCATTTACACTCATTTTTCATCAGAGCAGCATTACTTTGATGCCATGATCTTGTAAATTCATGAATTTTCACGGTGTATATATAAATGATGAAATGAACTTACTATTTCGTCCTTTATATACACACCGAAAAGAAGAGCGAAAATATGCAGTTTTAGAAATTCTTTAATGATTTGTGTAAAATATAACATCTGCAATTCTATCAAATCATAAAAATACAATATACTTAAGATATCCATGTTTTTATTTCCTTTGCTTTTTCTTCAGTTCTGATCACAGCGGCGAAATTTTAGAGATAATCACACTCTTCAAGTTCCCATAAAATATTAATACACTTTTCGTAAGCTAGCATACCTTAATATCCATTCAATAATCTATTCACTTTTTCTATGAAGCATAAAAGGAACGGCAGAGAATACAACAGCATAAATGTTCCAGTTTGAGTCCTCTAGTGTCTATATCTTAGTTAGACATTCTCAGCTCATTAGGTACCTCTATAAGAGAAACCGTGAAATGAACTGACATCTTGATGGCCAGAGAATGGTTTCCTTAATAGTAGAAATCCTGCCTAGAGCAGATCTTCATATGCGATGCAGGACTTAAAAAGTTCTAGATAAAACTGTAGTCTCCACAGGGTTGGCGTAATCTTAAATTTACTTAATTTTGCATCTTGATTTATTTTATGGTTCTTTGAAATTGTGCTCTCAGTTTATAACTCTAGAATGAAAAGCACCTGTAGGTTTGCGACTAATAATTTTCCTAGTGAAAAATCCCTAAAGATTAATAACTTTGATGAAGAAAACTATCAAAAACGTTAAAGGAAATCAAGTGAATGAAAAGTAGTTTTCCTGAATTCATTTATGATTCCATTAAAACTGACAAAAGTAAATTACAGAACGCAGTTTTACTTTATTAGACAAGGAAAAAATAATAAGAAATAAGAAAATTCTAAAATGCTGGGTTTCTTGCAGAAATACTGACCTATCTCGAAATAGCTGCTAGCTTAGAGAAATAACTAAATTCCCGAAATTAAGTCTATGAGAAGATGCTAGCCAATCTAGAAGCATTCTTTAATTTATAGAAGCAGTGATTTTTTCAATTATCAAAAATAAGATAGAATACGTTTCACTAAGATTATATTATAATTGACTAATACAGTCTCCGCGCATGTTGTTGTGGTGTAAGTGGTTAGTACATCCAGCTACAATTAAAATCTACGGGATTTCAAATCCCAGAAAAGACAAAATTGGATATTTACGCTTTTCCCTGAAGAAAGCCTGCGTTATTTCCCTAAAGGCTGTAAAAATCTCATTTAATATCCAAACACGCTGTCATTTACTAGAACTAAAATTTAAATGCAGGTATCACCATTTTACGAAGGTCCCTCTAACACACTTCGATTTTATTAAATATTTATAATGTTAGAGACTTTACTTTCCTTTACACCCCACCTAATTTTGCAACGGGAATCCGAAGTTTTTTGCTTTTGCGCACTGACAGACAAAATTTAAAGACATCCTTTTGCTAAATGTACACAATGACTGGATAAATGTTTAAGAACCGACAAAACAAATCATAAATTTAAGATCTTTTTTAGTCGCCTACGAACAGTAACATGTAAGACGAATATGTTGAAGCAGTAAACCATGTTATCCAGACTTTTCTATCATCCATAAAAGGCAACAAATAAAGATTTTCAACACTCAAGTAAGCAGAAGATGAAGTTATAATGACATGAATATCGCAAGTGATGATCCACACATTTCTGTTACTAAATCATTAATTATATGGTTTATCATCATCCACGACGGAATCTTCAACACCCTCAGTTTGAATTCACCATTTTCATTGGCATCACCAGTATGGCTGTCGTTGTGTTCTTTTGCCTTATGCATTCATGATATCAGTTTTGCTTTTAATATTCTTTTATGTTTTACTTAATGGGATTTGATAAGATTTTCTGGATGCCTAGAAACACTTGAACTTGTTTCTCAGATAAATTAATTATGAGCGCTTTAGTGTGTTACTTAATTTTGGCCTGCGAAAGTTTTCACAAGAACGCGTTACTTTAGTAACGATAAGAAAGTCTGAAACCTGATTCATAAACATTACACAATATTCTTAAACATTTACATGAAAGTTTCGTTCCGTCCCATCCTTAAATGTTGTAAATTCCCTAATAATAATAGTGTGTAAATTGTTGTAAAATGTTGTAAATTCCCTAATAATAATAATAGTAAAACTTCTTCATTATATAAATAACTATCATTTATCACTGATCACAAAAAATTAAAGTCTATGCACTCCTGCATTTTCAACTTAAATTTCCTGTATTTCCTTTTCTTCGGACATTTATTCTGCCATTTAACTGAATAGTTCATTTCAGTTTAATAATAAATATCAGTTAAATTTAAGATATGATTTCATAAGCATTCATAATCATATCTTAAATTTAGAGGTATACTTACATAAAACAATTTGAAGATATACTTAGTAGTCGATTACTTAGAATTTCGCAAATTCAAATTGTTTGATTTGAGTATGTATTCCAATCGGTATATTATAGTTGTTTATTTTCTGCAAGAAATACATGAGTACTGAAGAATAATATTTTTCCCTTCCTTTCGTAAAATCTTGCGCACACATACAATATTTGTGGAATTCAATACAAGAAAATTCATCTTGACCATGCATCGGAAAGTATTCCTCTCACATGGGTCCCATACCAGAGGATACAAATATTAATACATACAAATCTTTCCTGTTTCATAAAAACAGATATTCTCCTCTGGCTGTTGCTTCGAATACGAAAAGACTCAAAATGGTTGCTTTAGAATAATATTCCAAGTCACAAGATCAGGGTCATTTATTCCCAAGGAAAGCAAACCAGTATCCAATAGTCAACAAGAATCTCTTCCTTGCTTGCACGCCATAAAAGAGGCATAACGTCTTCTCGCGTTGTTGGACGAAAATGAAACTGCTATGCATGAACGGCACGTACGCTGGAACTCCAATATACTCCTTCTTCCCCCCTCCTCTGTCGACGCCCCTTGGAATTTTAAGCTCCCCTTTCCACCAACCCTTCAATAAAGTCTTCACCCGGGCAAGAATCGTCACGTTTCCTTAACTACCATGATCTCCAACAAGAACCCGAAGATAAACATCCACAAGGAAAAATAAATACGCTGCAGTAAAAATTGGCAAATCGTAAAAAAGAGGGCCTGAAAAGTTTAACAAAAAAATAGTTCGAAATGGTATCATAAAGAAAAGAACGCAAAAATATAAAAAAATGGTTAAAACTTGTTAAGGCAATGCTGCTCTTAAGGAAATATTTTTCATATCATTTTTAAACACTGCTCTCGTATCGCAATGTTGACCTTTATTGGATCTGTGAAAAGAAGTTATAAAAGGGGAGTTAGAAGGTAATGTCGCGTTTTTAAAAGAGGAATAATAATGTGTCTGGTAGAAAATAAAGAAAAGAATGGGTGGGGAGTGGAAAATTTCGATGCAAATGGCTGGCAGTAAAAGTTTTTTTTTCCTTGTTCATCTCATACTATTTGGGTATAAAATAAAGCAGGTATTGTGTTTTGTGAATAAATTTTGCCGCTTCAGTTTGCTTGAAGCTTATCTAGCTGCAAACACAGTAGGATACTTTACATATTATATTCTTATGTTACAAATAAAATAAATTTTTTCCTGGAAACATGTTAAACTAGGTATACGTGGAATTGCTATACTGTGAATCTGTATGAAACGCATTTAATGCAGATATTGGAAAACGGAAAAAATATTGTTATTAAAGTTTTAAAGTAATAAAAAAGTATCATACTTTTCTTAAGTAAACATTTACGCTTCTTTTAAAGACCTATATTTCAAAGCAAGAATTTCTGTGAACTTAAATTGCTATAAAATGATGTAATTATCTGTGATTATTCGCATATATTTGGGGAATGTCTGACTTGTCTCTGATTTTAATGGTAATAATTTTCGTATGAAACCCAACTAATCTTCGTAAAGAGCTGGATTAGATAAATCGATAATCGCTTTTAAACTTCTGATAGTGCTTTGTGTCTTTCGGAAATTTTCTCAAGGGAAATCTGGTTCTTAAAATTGCCCATTAAGTGAAAAACTTCTGTTATTTTCTAGAATATGCATGCAATCTGTGCGATTAAAAAAACTGAAAACTTTTGAAATATTTTGCGCGGTATTTCAGTTTAATGAAGTACCAACACTAAACATATCACTAGATGAAAATTTCGTAATTGGATAATTACTATGAAATTTATATACAAAGTGTTCATAAACTGTTTCAATAAAATAATCACATCCGAAAACATGCAGTTAGAAACCTTCGACCTACTTTCTGTTTCGATCTGGTTTCCATGTAACTAAATTATCGTGACCTGTCAAAATAGCCCATGAAAAATAGCCTAAATATAACTAACTTATTTCTGGTTTCAATTCTGAAACCTTTTTTACGCGAATATTGATTTTTCATGCCATTCCACAAAATTCTTGTCCACCTTTAATATTTAAAACAAAAT